GCCACCGGTTGTCCAAGCAGCTGTAGATAAACACCCAGTCCACGCTGTACCACACGAACTCATCCCGGAAGTACCCTCCTGTCACAAAAATGAAGCTCCCTGGAAAGACAGCAGAGAAAAGCGTCGGTTACGTGGAGGCTGCAAATGGCTCCTGAGAACCGAGGTTCTCCTTTCTCCTTGGGCTGTACTGGTGAGGGGCAAGACAGGCAAACCAAACGGCTGCTCTCTGTATCAGTTTGCAGTGTTTGATTCCCCACATCTGCACAGATAGCTGGGCCTACAGGATGCAGCAAGTCTGCCCAAGTCTGCTCCCACTCTTGAACAGAATCATGGAAACCCTCACTGGGAAGAACCTCTGGGGATCTCATGTCCAAACTCCCACTCGAAATGGCACTACCACCAACACTAGATAAGGGAAGGCAAGGTACTGAGCTGTCTTGATGTCTCCAAGTGTGAAGATTTCACAATATCCATCAAGTTTAACTTAATGCAGCTATAAATCAGAAGTCACCAGAACCTGTCAAAATCACCAGGGAAGAGCAGGCAAAAAAAATATGCTGTTTAAAGTGAGGTCATGAGACTCACTCCAGATACAGCTGACGCAAGGAGCTTCTTACTAGTAGTTTCTGCCTTATGAAAAGGAGAATTCAGTCTTGTCCAACATTCTCCCAGGACTAAGGAAAACCATCCTTTGAACAAATAGGAACACAGCTCTGGAGGGGGTTTCAGCAGTGCTGCAGTGTCACAGGAGGGGCAGCTGCCCTCCCTGCACCAGCGTCTCTAAGCCTCAATTTCCGTCGGCATTTGCCAAGTCCCACTTCTCTGTCAGTTACCTACTGCTGCCACTGCATACTGGGTGAGGTTCCTGCGCTGCAGTGGAGAGCAAGCCTGCCAGGTCCCTGTTTTAGGTTGAAAGGTAAATAGTTCCTGCTGCTCCTTGTCATGCCTCCCTCCCAGGACGTACAGGGTGTCGTAGCTGCGGGCGGCGGCGGGGCGCAGCTCTGTGCTGTGCCAGCGGGGGGGAGGACAGCTCTCCAGCTTCCTCATCAGTCTGGAGAAGGGATCTGCCTCTCCCAGGCGCTTGCTGCGTTTCACCAGGACATCGAGGAAGGACAAACTCAGAAAAGCCACCCTGACTTCGCCCACCAGATCCAGAAAGTCTTCCTCTCTCTCTGCTGGGTCCTCCATTATCCACCTCATAATACTGTCAAAGACCAAATCTTCTCGTGAAACGAAGAGGTCATCGCTCCTGAGGAGCTGCATCAGCATTTCCTTGGGTAGTGCCTTAAACTCTTCCTGGCACATCACATCCCCCCAGTGGGAGAGAGCCACGTTCAGAGCAGACGCAAACAGCTCTCCAAAGACAAACTGCTGCGAGTAGATCATCAGGCCCAGGCAGTTGGAAACGTGCAGCTCTCTCTCCAGAAACTTCTCACACAACAGCCTCACCCTGTCGAACTGGAGGAAGTCAGCTGTCTCCAGCAGGCTGGTCACGTTCTCCTGACCTATCAGCACTCGGGCCGTGCGAGTGAACTCCAGGAGCGCTTGAAAAGGAGCCGCATCGACCCCCCGGATCACGATGTGCTGCTCAGAGCTCTCCCTTGCCCCCCCAAAAAACATGGCTTCAAAATAACGACTGTGCACTGAGAGCTCCCTACGGCTGACCTCAAAGAGTCTCTCTCCAACCTCAAGAACCGTGTCTGCAACCACGTCTGACTGAGGTCCCAGCTCGTCTGGTTCCTGTGCAGGCTCCATGCTTGCTGACTGCCAGGCAGCTAAAATTAACTCAGCCCCTCTCCAGCCTTTACTCATGTGAGGTCTCTGGAAACATTACCCCCCAGCTAGGAGAAATAAAAGATAGCTTATCTTGGCCTAAAAATAGAGTCTGTTTTCTATCCTCCTGCTTTGCTCTTCAGTCCTTCCTGCAGCTTTCAGAGCAGCAATGACAGGAGAGCTGTAGAACCAAAAAACCCACAGATTTAATGGGCATCTACCTCAGGGAACTGGGGAAGCTGAGAGCTAAGCAAAGAGCCTGGACTAACAAGGAGGAAAGACAAGAGACCACCAAAACTTTCTCAAGCACTAACTAAATATCATGAAGATGCAGAGGAACAGTGAACTCATTTGAAAATAAATAAATAAATAAATATATCCACTGCAAAACTTTTCAGTTCTGCAAATCAGAAACACAGGAAAGCTTAAGCCCTCCTGGGGAAAAAAAAAAAATATTTCCCCAAAGCCACATCCTTCATCAGTTCAAGTTTATGAGCAAATTCCAGCCTGCTTGCAATACCTAGTATGTATATAACTTTAGGAAGAGCTGGAGGGAAGGAAGAGCTGGAGGGAAGGAAGAGCTGGAGGGAAGGAAGAGCTGGAGGGAAGGAAGAGCTGGAGGGAAGGAAGAGCTGGAGGGAAGGAAGAGCTGGAGGGAAGGAAGGAGCCCCCACTCAAACCCAGATGTCTGTCACACGTTGAGTCATCCTCAGTCTCAATGAACAGAATAAATACAGTCACAGTACAAGCCACAGTTCACTGATTCCAGTGTTTGGAGCAAGCTATTACATGGAGACTTGCACAGTGACCTTGATCTTGTGCCCCTTGTCCCAAAGGGCCCATCCCAGCAAGACTCAGTCCCATGTCTTGGTGGAGTTAATGCAGAACAGTGTTACCTGGATCAGGAGCAGCTTTTTCTCCCCTGGAGGTTCCCTTCCTTTTTGGGAAGAGGCTTCTGCAAAACTGCTGTTCCCAATGGTTTTATCAAGAGACACATTTAAGAATTAATCCAACGGAAAAGCAAATACACGTTTAAAAATCAGCTACAGAATTACAGAAGAGAATCACAGACTGGTTTGGGTCAGAAGGGACCTTTCAAGGCCATCTAGTCCCATCTCCATGCATGGAGCAGGGACATCTGCAACCAGAGCAGGGTGCTCAGAGCCCCGGCCAACCTCACCTGGGATGGTTCCAGGGATGGGGCATCAACCACCTCCCTGGGCAACCTGGGCCACGTGTTTTACCACCCCCTGTGTAAAAAATGTTTTTCTTCCTACCCAGTCTGAACCTCCCCTCTCTTAGTTTAAAACCACCACCTGTCATATGGCAACAAGCCCTGAGAAAAAGTTTATCCCCCCTAATTTTCACATTCTTGTTTTTAAGGTATTTGACCCCCAAGTACAACCCCAAAGTCTGCACTGCAGAAAAGGACAAGCCTGTATCTGGCAAAGACTGAGTGACCCATCAACTGGGCAGGAAATCCTGGAAACGTGCCCCTCTGGAGCTGGTGGACACTTGACAACTTCAGGCACATCTCCCTGCACCCTCTGCATCTAGAGCCTGGACTCCACTCAGGAGGGCTTCAACAGGTCTGTCCAGGACACTACACTCACAAAACGAGAGAGCAGAGATGGGGCAGCAGGTCATTGGTATTGGCAACCACCAGGCTCTCTCCCACTCTTCTCAGGCTGACAGGGAGCAAACTCTGCCCCATTCATTCTAAATAGTGAGTCTCAAATTGTGAAATTGCATGAAGAGCAAGTTTTGTATTGTTAGAAAAAAAGTTTGAAGGAGCATGGCTTTACAGACAGCTCTGTGAAGCACTCTGAGGATGAATCCCTAGGAGACCTGAATCCAGAAGCACTTAAAGGCAATATGCCACAGGAGACAACTGGTCCCCAACTCCACAGCCCCCTGGAGAAGTCAGAGAAGCTCAACTGGAACTTATTTACTTCAAGTTCCCACCCATTTCAGAGCTCACCCAGGACAGGCTGTGAACAGGAGCATGGTGTTGCTGCCAGAAGGAACAGGCAACACCACTTGACCTTGACAACCTCTGGGAACTAGACACTGCTGCTGCCACCCAAACAACTCACTCTGCCACACCCTCCTGGTAAAGGGCCCTCAGGAAAAGCAGGAGGCAGGAGCAGGTCACACACAGCCCACAGGCACATCGTGTCTATTCCAGTCTTTCAAATGCCCACCAGAACCTGGAGCCCCCGGGAAGGGGACCCCTGAAGCTCTCAGTCATTTCCCACCAGTTTCCTGCCTTAGACCCAAGCACAGCTTCAGGTCAGGTCCCTCCTGATTCTTCCACCTCCTGAATAAGTTTAATTCAGATGTACAGCTGTGGAGAACTGCAATGTCAGCTGTGAAGCACCTTTTCAGACTAAAAACCAGATGTTTAGGAACAGATCAGTTTGTATTTATTCACTCAAAACTCCTCATATCTTGCAATTTCTGCAGTATAAAAGAAATAAAAATGTTTACTTACAAATCAAGTTATAACAAACAGAACCACAAGTGGATAGCTACAATATAAAAATATGCAGTATTTCCAGACACTGCCTACAATTAACATCAGGATCTTAAATATTCTTCCCCTAAAATTCCAAGTATCAAATAGACACTTCTGTAGAGTTTACATCACTCAGCCAAGAATCACCCTAGAAGTCAGTGCAGTCCTTCTGTGGAGAGGTGGGAGCCTTGATCACAACCCACAAGATCTGGAACAAGTGCTAGAAAAGATCTTCTTGGCTACACAGCTTGTAAAGGTGACAACGAGGTACTAGGTAAGGGAAGTCAATGTTCCTGCAAGCACTGGAGCAAGCAGGCAAAAGAAACTGAACTAAAGAGCAGGAAGACTACAACACAGTGCTTCCCAGCTGCATCCTGATATCTAAGAGGAAGAACATGTTGTCATGTATTTAAGCTTCAGATTAAGTACATTTTTCATGTATTTAAAAATGTAAATAATATAACCAATATTCAGGGCATTTCTTCACTAATTTTTATGTGGTCGTTTCAAAAGTCACGAGATCAAGAGGGTCTCAGACAGTTCTGTGACAATATCCTCTCTCCTGTCACCTCTAAATAATGCAGTTACACATTTATGTGTGGGGAAAAGAAAAAAAAAAAGAAGAAAAAAAAATAAAACTCAGAACTCTGTCCTTGCACATCATGCCCCATCCTCTCATCGTTTATGGGAAGCCACAAAAATAAAAGCTGACCGTTCTTTCACGTGGACAAATACACACTCGAACTCCTCCCCCAAAGCAGGAAGCTTCTCACACACTGGTAGGTTTTCTCCGATGATTTTGCACCCCTGAAGTCTTTAGAGACAATCCAAAGAAAGCATCAGCCATCCTGCTGCTGGATGAAAGGGTTTGGAATCGCTTCCATTCCATCCTGTGGACAGATAAGAACCACAGAGGTCCCTCTGCAGACCACCAGCCCCAGCTGGCGTGTGTCTTCTGTTAGTTTGTACTGATCATCTGGATCTGAAAAGCAGAGAGCCAGAGTTACAATGGCAACAGAAGGAAAACCAACTCAATTCAGCCACATCAACAGGCACAAGCACACAGCAGTTTTCTGGGTGTCACTGCGTTGTATCAAACACAAGGACTATGAGAATTAGACACCAGTAATATCTGGGGTCTTTAGGATGCTGCTGATTTAGTCACTTTCAAAGCACCAGAAGCCACAGTGAGCAATAAAGAATTTCACCAAGCCCAACAAGGGTGCAGATAGGGCCATGGAAACACTCGGCAGCAGCCAGTTCTGCCTTCCTTGAGATGTCAACACACTCAACAAAAATCCACTACACAGCTTTTGGAACTCGCTTCCAAGAGTAAAATTAAAGCCTTGGGTGCTTTCTTGTCAACAGGCAAGTGTATTAATAATCTTTAAAAGACTCCTATCATATGATAAAATTTGTTTCAGAGAGGAGAAGTGGAAATGGGAATATTTATCCTTCGATGGGTAAAAAAGCCAATGAGCAGAAGCCCTACAGCTCTGTCAGCTCTGAGAAACCAGAGGGTTTTAATCCCACAGAAATACAAAGGCAGCATTTACTGCAGAGTTTAAAGTGGTAAAATAATGCCTGCTGAGATACTTTTCCTGCTTTAAGCAAACCAGCAACACTAGAAATGAAGGCAAAAGCAACTTATCTGAAAAGAGACACTCTACTTTGTTCCAGCTTTTGAGGACAGGACCAGCACGTGAGTTATAGAGCAGCTGAAGAAGGACTAGCAAGAGTGGTCTGTCTCAGGGAATGTGCTCAACCTAACTTCTGTTACCTTGTCCCTTTCTTCACAAATTAATTATCACAAGCATGTCTCTGGATGATCTCAGCCTGAAGTTTCTGGTTATTCACTCATAGAGCAGTAAGATTTCTACAAAGAACATTCTTCCTGGGGAAAAAGGAAAAGCTTTACACAAACAGTATTTTGCTTACCTCGCATGTACTCAATGGTACCATCAAGCACAAGGTTCAGAAGAGGGTCAAATCCTTTCAAGACACCACTTGCTGTTGAAGACCACACACAAAACAAGGATTAGACCAAAGCCAAGTGTACAGAACACACGACTGCACGGAGGACACACAGCTCTCCAGCTCTGCTCCCTCCTCCAAGCAAATGAGCCCAGAGATACTAAACACCCCACCTTTATCAAAGCACAGATGCAGGAGAACCTGGTTTGGGTTGTGCCAGCTGAGACTTAACACATTTTGCAATCAGTTCTTTACAACGTTCTTCAAGACAAACATTCTTGGGCTGGGCCAATTCTAGGGTTATTTTAAGAATACTTCAGCATAACAAATCACTATGAGTCACACCATAGGAAAAGAAAACAAATCAAATAAACAGCCTCAGCAAAGGGTATGGCAAAAAATGCAGTGAGACTGTAATATTTGGCATCTTTTTCCTCAGACCACCAGCCTTCCAGGTGCCCTCCAGGCCTACAAGCTCTTCAGCTGAAGCACTGTGGTCACAGGAGCGTGCTGCAGACAGACAAGCACTTCACCCTAAACCACAACAGGACTCCACAAAACTGGTTGCCAAATAAGCTGCAAGACTACACAAAATGATCTCTCAGTTTGAAAAACACTTGTTGATTACCAGCATTACTATCATTCCTAACAGCCCAATTCACAGAAGGGACTCTCATAACCCTGGGTGTCCCATGAAGGCCATAAAGGAATTTAGTGTCAATTTTTAAAGAAAATTTAAACCAACAGATTCAATGGAAACGTTGACTGCCCCAAAACTACCAAAAAACCCCCAAACCGACACTTATCAGTCAGAAGTCCAAGTAACTTCTAAAAAACCCATTTCCCAGTGAAGTTTTAAAAGCTGTTTTTAAAAGCAAACTGAGTTTGCTTCGCAAAAGCTTCTGCTGAGCATCCCTCATGCAGAACACTGCTGATGTTCAGCCAGCTGAGGGGACAGCAGGAGGGACAGCACAGGTACCTCACAGGAGCAAGGAGCAGGAAGACAACAACATGAGAGCCTCAGAAGTGATGGGAAGAGATGGTGAAATACACTGAAACAATCTGGGAACTCCCGGCACCTTTAGTAGGCTAAGAGGTGAAAGGGATGGCAGGTGTATTAATAACAACACCCAGAAAACATAGAATCATTAAGTCCAACCATCAAGCCAATACTACCATGACCACTAAATCAAGTACCACACCCACACGTTTTCTGAACCCCTCCAGGGCTGGGGACTCCAGCACCTCCCTGTCCAGCCTGGGCCAACCCCTCAACACTCTGCCAGGAGAGAAATTCTAATATCCAATCTGAGCCTCCCCTGGGGCAACTTCAGCCCATTGCCCCTCATCCTATCGTTGGTTACTTGGGAAAAGAGACCAACCCCCACCTGATTCCAGCCTCCTGCCAGGGAGCTGTACATGTCTCTGTGCTGCTTGCACACCCTTACAATGTGAAAAAAAAACAGCCAGAAAAAAAGAAAAAGAAGAAAGAAACCAGACAGTTAAAGACAACTGAAGAAAAGACAATGAAAGAAAGGAGGCTCGGCTAAAACACAGACAAAATTGCAGCCAAGGGATTAACAGAAAGTTAAAGGCAATCAGCTTTAGTGACAGCTAAAAGCACCAGATACTCATCGTGTCTTCTCGGGAGGGAGGACCCAGAACCTGGCGAGCAAAGAGCGAAGACACCCCCAAAAAGCAACGCCGGCTTCGTGCTGCAGAGGCACCTCTGGGGCTCCACCCCACTCACCTTCCCTCCCGCCCTGGAACTTCACTCGAATCGTTTTGTCGATGTACTTGGAGAGGTCCAAGATGCTCTCCTTCTTCTTCTTCTCCTTGTCCTAAAGGAGAGGAGCAAAGGCGACCGCAGTGAGCCGCGCCC